ATTCACGCCCACGTCGACGTCTACCCACGCGACTGATACTATCATGCTAATCAGACCACATTCACATGTCCTACCGTTACGGCATTCTTATCCTATATCTTATCGCCAGATTATCATTTGGTACCGCATTGTACACGTTCGAGGACGGGTAGTGAAATGTTTAGCCACGACTGGACTTGTAAAAGCGCAAAAATTATTCGTCTCTATTTAGAAGGCAACCATGTAGAAAGTAGACGACCATGTAGAAAGTAAAGTCAACAAAGAGAGAGCGTTGATCAAATACAAAGATATACATATGAAAATCGGAATGCTAGATAATTTTTTTTAAACATTAACTGTTCAATAATTTTCAAATCTCTTTAAAATTTACGCTATCTCGTAAATGACATCTACTTTTCATTTTTGAATGATATCGAGACTAAAACACCTCGATATTAATTATCCCCCCTGTTCGACTTCCTACAAAAGAATCGACAAGCAGAGCAGTATCGGATAGCATCGTGTTGGACACAGCACGTACACATACACGTTCACATCTTGACGATTTCTCGGGGTCCTTAATCGTGTAGCGTCGAAGTCTGGATCTGATTTATCGTTTATCGCCGATAATACCTACGAAGGTGTACGCGACCGATCGATCACTCTCTCGCGTTCGAATTATTCGGGATACATGAGCGACGGTGTTGCTACATACGTCGGAGGAGAGACAGGGGTGCATAAATGTACATAAACGTTGATATGAATAATGGCGCGTAACTCGTGCAAAACGATCTTGGTAAAACGTTCTTCGCGTAATGGATGCTTATACGGCATATGAGAGAAAAGATGAATTGCTTGAGATACATACATGAATCGTTTACTTTGAAAGTAGTGTAACATTTTCAAACTTTATTTGTATTCATTAAAATGCGCGAATTATTTACAAAAATATATACTGTTAAAAATGAAAAATCTAAATTATTTTAAAAAGTCAATAGATTACAAGTGCAATGATGATTTTGAGAAATCTATCTTGTAAATCAAATCATAATTTGCGTCCTACATTACTCACACTTTAATAAATAATATCAATGATCCAATTAGTGCGGGTGCATCGATCATGAAAAGAAATGATCCAATTACGGGTTAACATATGAACATGTAAACTTTTTCCATTAGAAAAAAAAGATGTGTCTGATCGGACGAAGAATCGTGCTATACACCTTGGTCTGTCCTCGTATGTTCAGCATACACGTAGACATTCTCCTATAATGAATCTTGGTTCAGAAGGACTCGTCGGTATTGTCGATAGGAGCATCTCGATAAGGGTAGTAGTAGGAGGATCCGACCCATTAGTTACCGCGAACCGCTCGTCAAATAAGCCTCTGCATACGTAATGCGCAATGTCGTGCCGTATCTCGTAATGCATTATTATGCATCGGTTGATGTATTTCTCGTCTTCCATAACTATTAACAAATTTTTATTTCTCGATGGAAAAATTCACAATTCGTTTTAGGCTGCGTATCCTATATGCACATCTCCACATAGTTTGTTTAATGTGAGGACGCACTGAATTATAAAACACGTTACTTGGACCACGTTGGGCAAATATTTCAACTTATTTGTATGTGAACATAATTTTATGTTTCTAATAATTTTTAATTACTTTTATGGTTATTTTTAATAACTTTTAATCGTGTTATTCGTATTATATGTATTTTTATGTTATTCTTTCTACATATTTTAATGACTGGCTAACACAATTGGCCTGGATATTCGCTTGCATATTTTGATGCATCGATACATCATATCATTCGCGACATATATTGTAATATAGTATCGTCGGTGCCTATATATCGCGCATATCGTCAAAATTTATTACAGTAATAATAAATTTTAAATAATAATACTAAATAATAATGAGAAGTCTAAAACCCGAATTTTTGCCATTAATTTGCACTCGTTAAGAGCTCGTATGTGACGAAGAACTTTACTGAGAGTTTGAAAGTTGGTTCAACTTTGCGTACAAACTCTCGCGTATGCGTAAATCCAAGCTGCGTTATTTCGTACAGGGTTTCACGTATCTAACAACGAGCCACGCATACTTTGTACACATTCGCATCTCTGTATCTTAATACCGATCGTTCTTTTCACGTTGCAACATCCTACGCACTTGGATAAAGGCGACAGAAACGACGGTCCGTGCAATCAAAGCTTATTTCTGCAAGATCAACTGATTCCGTAAATGTAAATTGTCGTGTAGTTAGCGTACTTCATCATTTCGTATATACACTTTTACTTAATAGTGTAGATTACAGTGGAATAAATGGTCTCAAACAAGGAGTTTAATATAGCTCGAAATGTGTGACGAATTAAAATTTATAGATTAAAAACGATAATATAGTAAATATTATTTGGTATCTATTGTAAACAAATAATTTTTATTTAATATGAGAAAAATATAATTATTTAACATTTTTTAAAATTAAAAACTTCTAAATTTAATAAAAGAATAAGAAAAAAATCGAAACAAAATATATATAATATTATTTTTTGCTTTTTGTTCCATAAATGTAATATTTTTATAGCTAAATTAGATTGATGTAAAATCTCTCATTTACAGAAAAGTAATTTTAAATCTGCTAATACATTTTTATTTATTATAAAAATATGTATTTATTTCTATTTTTATATATGACAAATTAATCTCCTTGTAAGATTTTTCAGATTTACATGCAAAATAACTTGTACTATTATGTTACAATGTATCGTTATTTGTACATTGTGATGACTATATCTGCAGATAATTTCCCATGAATAATTTATATAATCCACGTAAATCGTGAGTGGACGTGTAACACTTCACGTAGCACGACATTTTGGCAGTCTTGCGGACGTCCTATTCTCGCCGAATTCTTGGCAGCGACGCGGTCAAAGAATATCTTCGGGATTCTCGCATAAGTCAGCGCGATGATGAGACACATTAGAGTGTAATCGTACACGCTTATCGCGTGTTTTCACGCGCGAGCAGTTTCAAATTAAATGCGTTTCGTGTTTTGGAATTAAGACAATACCGATTATTATTTCCCATAATTTTCTACTTAGATTAAAAAAAACGAAAGGATTATATGCAGAATGTTATACGATGTTCCTTGTAAGAGGTGACGGTAGAAACTTTCGAAAAATATATTTTGCTAAAGTATCATGCTGATATATTCGCTATGTCATTTGCGTAACCACATCTTAAATGTGGCGAAATACATTTTGTTTGTTTATTGGCAATCACTTGCTAAACGTATAACTCTTGGAAGATATATTCGGTCAAATAGCCTCATAAATAATATCCAAGTGTCAAGAACATCCGATGTAACTCTCCGATGTTTCTCACGTGATAATTGATGAACACATGTGCTGCGAGAGGTGCGGGAAGGAAACAGTTTTGGTACATCGCATTCAGATTAGGGTGTCTTACGGCAAAGGCCGGATGCATCTGCATTTGCGAACGCAGCTTGGACATGAAGTACGACGCAAAGCGCTAGCCATTTATCTATCTCGTTTTATAAAGCGGAGACTGTCCCTAGAAGGCATCCGCATTTTCAAAAACGTCGCATGATTGATGAAACGCGTATGTCAGTGTCCAACTTACGAGCATGGATGATACAGTAATTAAGAAGCTTCTAATTGTTAGAAAATTTTAACAATAATCCGTGATCCGACATTAAAAAGATTACAACATTATGTTTTCAAGATGAGAGAACATAAATAAAATGATTATTAAATTTTGATCTACAAAATTGAAAGAGTGTTAGGAATTAAAAGCTGTCATTTAAAAATAGAATATTATTTAATTAGCATTAATTCGCATTTCGTTATTGTACTTATTATTTTTTAAATTATCAACTTATATTTCATCATACCATAAAAATTAAAAATTTTCACGAATATAAATTATAACTAGCGCGATGAGAATACTGAAGAATTATTATTTTAAATAGATAATTAATATATTTATTAATTAATTTATTTATTTGTATGAATATAGTACATTTTTAAGTAGTATTTTTTATTATACTACGCAGGGACACCATCGAAAAGTAGTTTTATAGTTTATGGGGTACAATTCTCCTTCTTCCTACGCTTTTCGGGAGAATCCCGAGATTCTCAAACCCGTAATAGAGACATTGAATAATCCAGACTGGTTAAGACGTAGCCGTATCGACTGTGTGATCGTTCAAAGGGCGTGGCGCCGGTACACTTGAAGATCGTTTGACACAAAAGCCGATCTACTTCCTCCGGGCCATATTATTACCTTACCTGCACGTTCAGTCGCGGCTAAAGATCGAACAAGATCAATCACTAACGCCTTTATTCCCAGCGTGCTTGAACTTCTTTTTAAAAATGTGTACCAAAAAAAATCCTCTCTCTTACTTTCTTTCGCTCCTTATCTTTACTTGCCGGCGGACGATTTGCGATATCAAACTTATTGGAAAAAATAGTAGTATAATTCCTGGGTAAAAATAAGAAATAAAACATTTATCTGTAATATTTTTCAATATATTATTTCGATATAACATTATCTTCTGGATTTTGCTTTGCATAACTTTAAAGACACTATAAAATATCTAAATTTTATATTAAATATTTCTCGCCTATTTTTTAATTACCAATGACAAAATATCTGTTCATTTTAGAATTTTGCATTACATTTTATTATGTTGTATAATTAAATTTGCATATTTTGTGAATGTAGCGTGGACATATACCAAATGGCAATGTTGTTTACCAATTGAAAATGAACGTGGCTACGTAGTTCCAATTCTAAATCGATACAGATAGCGGGACTGAACAGGAGTCGGTAAACGTTTAGCTAAAACACCGAGATGATTGTTTACAGACTTTTCTCTGTCACTGCATCGTTCATTCGCGAACACGTGGCTGGTCACTCCACGTGGCCGTCGTAACTTGCCACTGTTACTCCAAGATGACGGAAGATTTTAGACTAGCCTGTACTCGTACGTACCTTGCGAGCCTTCAAGGCGTGCACCACTTTCGGTCGTAAATATTGCTGCGCCAGTAGGAACGTGATGGAAGCGGCGGCCAGTAGTCCGACGCTCTTCTGAAACCTCCTGAAACCGTTGTCGGTTCGCCACGATGTATACGCGCGCGAAACATCCCGAAAATGACGTACATGCGGCGACACGCGTCGCGACAGGCACACTATCGTCGCCATTTTCACTGCGTCTGCCCGAGACGTCAGATTCCCTCCTGTACGATCAGTATTGTTAGTAAGAATGTCCGCACCCGGGGGCAAATACAAGAATTGTTTCTATTTAATTTTTTTTTATAAATTTATGAGCCAGTACTTAGTTTGATATTTTTTATCAATTTAATTAGAATTTGTATAGAAACAGTACAATTTTTCTCTACTATTGTGATGAAAAATTGTTGTGTACAAAAGCAAAGAGATTTCTGAAAATAATTTTGCTAATTATATCGCAAAATATTAATAAACATACTTTTGAATTATTTTTATCATGTTTTTAGTTTTTTTTGTTTCTTGATATTAAATTCATGATTGCGTGACGAAGTTACAGCACTGCAAATCAGTATTAATAGAACAAGATAATTCTGTCAAATTGCACGCTGATTGTTATTTTAATTCTACTAAATAAAATTCGACGAGTAGATTTAGATACGATTTAGTAGCAGATCCGTGATAATTTAGGAAAGCAGCATATCTGCGGAAAATTCCAGTAATATAACAGATATCATCATCTCTTGTTGGACAGTTACATCGTGTTACTGCACGATTAAATTTGATGCCAAGTGTTACGTGTTGAATATATCCAGTAAGACACATTTTCAACAGACAGTGATTTATGTACTCATCGTCGCGTAAAGTGCAATGCAAACGGTTATCTTCAAAATATGATATTTAGGATGCTAAGAAATTGTTCTTTTTTCCCCAATATTTCAATGTTTACTGTAAGTACAGAAAATATTGTATAGGTTTTTTTTAAATTCTTTAATTTTATTTGTGGATTTACATTTTATGTAAAAATTTCGTATTAAGACATTTAGTCCGCCAATTCACAAAATTTTATGATTAGTATTACTTTAATATAAATATAATGAATTTATGCTATGAGCTTATTGCTGTGATAAACATACTATGTTATTCTAATGTTTTAATATTTATATAAAAAATTGTATCCAACTTTTTTGGGGATTTTTACACGAACAATATTACTGTCAGTAGAAGTATGAAGTAGGTAATTATGGATTTTTCGCATTACTTTGACAATCATATAACATGACAGAATCTACTTATCATCCTTTTTATGGAGCTCTCACATTGAAGCTATGACATTACATATTATCATTATGTCAAATTATTCGATCTCGTAATTTACGATCAAAATTAATGATTACTACTCGACAACCAAAATACCTGTCGTATATTGAAATTTTACATAATTGCTTATTTAATGCATTTCTCTCATTAATTTATTTACTCCAACGAATTGTTGCTTGAGCAGAAAGATATTAAAGAGTTTATAATAATGCAAGAAGTAATTGAAAAATCCAAATACATTTTTAATCTTAATTCTGGCTTGTAAATTAGGGATTTTACTCAAATTTTTGCTGTTTTAATTAAATTATAATAAATTTTTTTTAAATTTATCTATTTTTAATAAAATAATAATAATTTCTTTCAATTACAAATATTATTTGCATATATGAAGAATGTATGAAAAATAATCGGTAGTGTGACAGCTCCTTTAGGTCAGAACTTGATATATCCTTCGCGAGACGATCCTTCAGGGCATGCCGTAATCACGCATTAATTATGATCGCGCTGGATGGCATGTAACCACGTAAATAAATCGAGGTAACGCGTGGCCGTGCAACAACCTCGCTACGTCATTGCGAAAGGAGCGAGGACTCGATGATTTGCCCCGTATCCCATCCGCCCTTTTGCCTCGTATTTTGATCTATTTTCCATGTTTTTAATCAAACGGTTCCTTTATGTCCGCGGCGGATAATCCGGTATTCGTAGCGTAGATATACAAGCAGGGAGAGAAATTATCTTCTGCCAATAACTCCATATTATCATCCTGCTCAATCATCCGCGGCGCTTTTAAACGGTTATATTACACATTCTTAGCTTCTAGCTGTTTTGCTAAAGCATGACAAAATTAGCAAAGTCAAACATGATGCGTGCTAGTTCCGCGAAAAATTGCGCCTGAAAATAATAATGCAACGTGACAATTATTTTACTCAATTTTGATCACTTACTTCAAAAATATTATTCTTTCTTGACAGATTTGTGTTATAGTTGAATTATGGATGGATTAAGATTGATGCAAATAATTCTAGACATTTGTGGGAGGAAATGTGTACACTCGAATATTATTTTACAATCAATTGCATTACATAACGGAAAAAGAACGATTCTTCTTAATTTTCAAGTTGCGGAGAGAAGAATTGCTTAGAATGATACATTTATTTTTATTACGCAATTTAAAATGTTCCAAGTAGAAATACGATTATGTATATCAGATGTATATAACAAGACGGACGACACTAATTTTAGATGGCAAAGGGTTAACTGAACCGATTCACAAATCGCCGTCGCGACGCGTTCGCGTGTGTCCTTGTACTGTTGAATAGATAGGAATAGAACTGAAGAGGGTCGTACAGACGAAGGACGTTATGTAACAAGACGGACGCTTCTTCACCCACGTCCCGACACCGCGTGACGCAACGCGAAAAGAGTTCGTTCGAGTGGCGCGTGTGCTAAAATTACGCAGCACTATTACACGCACCGGTGTTACGCTCTTAGTATGTATCGACTGCCGTGTAATGACGTTATATCTTTTTCTGGATTTTTTGCATATCTTAGAGTAGTAATTAGTGACGTTTTTCAATACAGAGTACATTTTGAAAAAAAGTTTTGTGCAGTTTTCTCTAATAAATTATATTAATGTACAACAGCGAATACAGTAGTAATGTGTGTATGTGTAGTGTGTTCATATGAGAGATAATTCTAGAGGTAACGTTACTTCTATTCAATAGGATTATTTTAAAATGTTTTAACATTTAAATATTATATTATTTGAAATTTAATGTTTCAAAAATCATTGTTTATAATCAAAACTTAATGCCACATAAAATTTTAAATAAAAACTTTAAAGAAAAAGTTACATAATAACTACTGTAATCGCTGTTGTAAAAGTGAAAACAATTGTTGAACTTCTTATGGCACGAACGCTCGCGGATTAAGAAAATACTTGGAAAATGAGATAAGCTCGCTCGGGCGAATAAAAATTCATTTGACTTCATGCCGCAGCTGCCGTCGTTGTCGAGTGAATATAACCGGCAATGTAAGCGTGCAGCGAGGCTGCAACTTCCTCATCCACGCGCAGATATCGAAGTGCACAACGAGTTTACTGAGAACAAGTCCGGCGTTAGACTTCTTGCCGCCGCGAGCGAAATGTCGCACTTTCCGGAGAAGGCTGTCACAAGGACTAAAAGCAAAGGTTCTCAGAAGCATCTAATTTTTAAATAACAAAGCTGAATTCTAATTTTCTACCGTCATAATTGATTATATACAAATTGATTAATTTTACTGAAACTTTTTATTATTTATCTAATAATTTTATTAATTGCATATATACGACTGAATTGTTGAAAATACGAAATTTATTGAAAAATTACAAAATTAGAAAATTAAAATTTTGTTGAGATAAAGTTAATTTTGAATTCAGTGAGTCTATACTTAAGAGATTTCTTACACATCCTGTAAATATCAAAGGAAAAAATTTAGTCTCTCTAGTATCTCGCTTCAAGATATTTAATAATTATAATAATTATTTATTCCGACGCGACGCTTCTGTAGGGTATCTGCATTCGTAGGCTTTATCGATACGTTCGTATCTTCGCTAATTTGAATAAAATTATATCAAATCTGATATAGTTGGTTGACTTGTGCTGAGAATGCAACGAATAGAAAACTTTTGATAGTAATAATGTAGTTGATAGTATAGAAAGATATAATCAATATTCATCTAATAAACGTTGATAGATTATAGCAGTCTGCGATGCTATCATACACCTGTTTTTAAAGCTTGATAAGTGCTTTCGAGCTTGATGTAAGTGCAGTTCGAGGTTAGGACTGTTCAGGATACTGGAGGGTATGATCGATTATGATGAATATCTGTGATAATGAATAAATCGCACCGATTTTACGCGTGAAATGCACGCAAAATACTTAACTACAGCCTTCATCTAAAGGCTCGTAAAATTTATGCACAGGTGTTAACACCTCTTATCAGGAAATACGTGATTCAAGTTAAGGATTACATAGAATCATCTAAGTAAATTACGAGGAAAAATAAAAAATAAGGAACAATTTTCTTTAATTTAGAAAAAAATTTCTTTTTGACTATATTTTGTTTTATATTATATTGACATATATATTTTTTATATTTTTTAATACATATGAATAAATGTATAATTTTTGGCATTTAAATTAGTTTCATATAAAATATTCAGGATATGCGTTTTAATTCATTTCTTTAATTACGTACGTTAATAATTATGCTGTTCTTCACGAAACTGTATTACGTTATATAGATAGGCAAAAATAGCAAACGCTAAGAAAAGAAAAACTTAGAATCTCGGAAGGCTTGATTGTTAAATTATAAACAGGGATAGTATACGTTCTATGGTATATATGTGTAGTTTTGCCCGTGGGTCGAGAGTTAAGGCGGAAGGCGTTTATCGAAGAACGTTAATTATAAATTGAAAGACGTGCGTCGCAGGCCGAAGGTCGGGGTTATGGTTATGTTAATAGCGAAGATTATGATTATGATCATGATCCATAAGTGGCTAAGTGCTACGAGAGATCGGCAATATACGGAGCAACAGCGGCATGTCTGCATACACGATGCATTAGATATGCAGGTACTTGTATAACATCTTAAAAACGATCAGTATCGCTTTTTACGTCGTAATAAACATTTAGAACTTATATGGAAAGTTGTTATATTTATTAGCACAATACTTAAAAATTATTACACTTAATAACCACTAATGATAATATTTTTGCTTCGGTATATTAATGACTTATTAAGAACTTTATTAAATTATGACATGGCTTAATTATCTTCAAGAAGTTGAGAATGTACATTTTTCAAATTCTTCAAACAATCATATGTATATCTGAAATAAGATCAATTACTAGTGAATATAC